GTGCAGTCCACAGCTTGTTGGAACACAGAAAAGGGACAGGAACTGTAAGTTTTAGAAAAGTAAACAGAGACTCAACCCTGATTCCATGTCGACAGGAGTGTCTGTCCTCTCTGTAGAGTCTCCCCCACATCTTAGAAATTGCCAGACAAAGTGTATATATTTGTTGGGAGTGAGAGAGGAAGGATGAAAACTCAGATTCCATTAAACCACACTGTCATCTCATTTTCTTCCATTATACATAGGAGACTGGACTAAATTACTTCTTGGGTTCCTTTTGGTTCTGAAATTGATCCTAAGTTGTTTGTACACACCACCATCAACAAGGACCCCCACCTCCCTGCCCTCACACATACTAGATTTCTCCAATGAAAAAAAATCTCAAGACAGGGGTAAAGAAGTCTTCAATGATAATGAAAAGGATAAATTGCCCTGGACAGCTGTCCTTGGACACCCAGAGGAATTCTGATTTTAAGAAAACATTGAGGATCGACTGGAGAATTAGCTTAGAAAACTGGCAAGGCTGAGGTTCAGCTACAGTACTGTTCAATGATTATGGTGGGCAAAGTCCAGTAAGAAAGGTAAGCAATTTGGGTAGATGCCACATATTTAAATATTGCCCCAATCGTTATTAACACAGAGTGATTTAGTCTAATTATAATAAATTATAATTTATAAAAAATATATTTGGAAACAGGGTTTTTAAAGAGGCAACTTAGTTAAAATGAGGGTGGGTCCTAATCCAATAGAACTGGTGTCCATCTAAGAGGGTATTTTGAGCAATTTTAAGATACGGATATTTACAGAAGAAAGAGGAGAGACAGCCAGGGGAGAAGGCAACCCAAGGACAAAGGGCCCAAAGAGACCACCAAGCGGATACTTGATCTTAGACATCTTGCCTCCAGAAGTATGAGGAAAAAAATCTCTGTTGTTCAAACCAAACAACCAATGCATGAGCTTGGTTTTGGTGGTCATAGCAAAATTAACGTCCATCACCACAAACTACTCTAAAATACATTTCCTAATTTATTTCCCCTAATATCTCAGCTTGCTTAGTTCTCATAGTTATTTATGAAACTCTTTTCAAAACACTGATAATATATAATATTGATAAATCCTATCATTTTGGATCATTAATAAATTGGTAAACAGACTAGGAAAGACCACAGTGACTCTAGCAGTGCTAGTCATGTGATTTATCTAACACATAATTCAGAAAGTCAAAAGAAATACAGACCATTAAATGGAAACACCACTCATTAATGAGAACATCCCTCAGTGGTTCAACAGTAGTCTGGATCAATAGTAACCTAGGGGGTCTCCCCAGTGGCGCTGCAGTTGAGCACTGGGTTGCAAAGCTGCTCGCAGCCTCTGCAGCGCCAGTTCAATCCCCGGCCGCCGGGTGAGGGTCATGGCGCGCAGACCTCTCCTGCCACCCGCTGCTCTCCCCAGCATTGACTTGTCAGTCTGCCTGCTCTGCTCCCTGCTCTGGCTCTGGTGAATCCTCTCACCCTCCCGCGCATCTGACTGTACCCAGTGCTTGTATAAATAAATAAATAAATCTTAAAAAAAAAAATAGTAACCTAGGTTCAGACGTGGGCACCAAGGAATTTAGAGAGCAGGAATAATCTATATCTAACTTGGACTATTTCTCTGCCCATCTCCAGCTAAGGATTCAATGATCCATAGATCTATCTAAGATTCAATGGATGAAAAGGATGGGAAGTCATGACTGCATTAGAATCCCCAATTACACCACATTGCCCTACTCGTAATCATTATTTTGACAACTGGCTTTCTCTCCAACTTATGATGATTTTATCACGCATGTAGTTAATCCTCCATCACCCCAGCCTCTCAGCCACTTGCCCTGCTCTCCTCCACCAACCTTGTTCTCCTCCGATAACCCTGTTCTCCACCCAGCTGTGCAACTCACTGTCAAAAAACACCAGATATTGTCCTTAGCAACATCTTATGGAGTCCATAAACTCCATTTCTAGCATCCCTTCTCTGACCTCCACCTGCTTCTCTACAGGATTTCCCCTCCGCAAGTTTCCCATTTGAACAATTCTGAATTCCACTGAGGTGTCCAAGCCACTGGCAACACATGCTTTTCCATCTCTCATCTCTCATATCTTCACGTCTCCCCTTACTCAACTTCCATTCCACATGTGATCACTACTATAACTTCCTAGTATTTCTTTAAATCTCTTGTAATTTTATCTCTCCCTTGTCCCTCTCTTTCTCCTTCACATTTGTAAATTCAGTTCTCCAGTTAACTCTTCCCCTTCACAGAAGCAACTAAACACAGATGAAGAAAAATATTGACATTGGCTGTTCTAACTTCAAGTTCATGAGAACTGAACTCAAGCTGGCCCATCACACCACCTGTGGTCTTGTTATACATTATTAGCTTATGAACTCACTCACTTTTGCACTATATTTTCTATCTTCCCTCTACTCAGACCTCCACATTTTTCTCCCTATTCTTATATTCAGTGGATGACTCTGCTTCTTATTTCATCGAGAAAATAGTGGTAATAAAAAGAGAATATCTATGCTATGTATTATTATATATTATCAGACTGCACCCATATATTTCACATAATTTTTTTCACATAATATATTTTCTGTTAAAATATATGAACTCTTTGTCCTCCTAATTAAGCCCAACCACTCCACTGACACAATGGAACCCCCCCATCCCCATCACTGTTCTTGCATGGCCTCATCTCATCTATATCATTGCCTCCCACCACTTCACAGGATCATTTCCATGAACACAGATACGTGTTGGATGGCAAGTTAATAAGGTAAAGCATTTAAACACTTTACAAAACCACTATTTCACCCCACATTCCCCGTCTAGCTATTGCCTCAATTCTGTTTCCTTTGTTGTAAAAAAAAATCCATGGAAGAGTTTTCTATATGTCCTCTGCTCATATTCTCTCTTGAATCTACACCAATCCTAATTCCAGCTCCATCATGTCAATGAACTGATTCTTGTCAAGGTCAACAAGACTGTCTTTAGCTGGTCAAGTCAACTTCTTAGCAATATTTGATGTTTGTGATTATACCCTCCATCATGACATATTTTCCTTTGATATTCTAGATTGGTTCTTGCTTCTTCTATCTTTTGGTTCTGCCTTCTCTCTATATCCTTACAATCGCTAAAGCTAGGGTGGCTCAGGGTTCATATCCTGGAATTCTTGCTTCTTTAGATGACCTCAATAAATTCCAGGGATAATATATATGCTGATAATTGATCCAGCCCTGATCTTTCCCCTAGCTTTAGACTTAAATATCCAGCTGTCTATAAACATCTTAAGCTTAAAGTATCAAAAAAAAACCCAAAAAACAAAAAACCACAACTCTTGAATATCTATCCCAGATGCTCATTAAATATGGCCTGTGTCTTTCTGTTCCCTTTGCCCGAAGAGTTCCTTTCCTTATTCAGGTCTCCATTCAAAAACCACCCCATTTACCATCCTGGCCTTCTCTACATAAGTCTCACCTCCTGTTGCTGATAGTGTCCCACCCCCCTCTCTCTCCTGATCTTGCCTTACTTCTTTATGGCACTTATCATGATGGGATACATTATCGCATACAGTGCTCCAAGATGGAGCACTGATTGTGAAGTACAATCTAAAACAAGGTAACCGTGCTGGTTACCAGCACTTACAGAGCCAGCACTTACTACAAAGACTTGCTGAGGTCAGAAGAGGAAAACCATTTTGTGCCTCAAGATTTAATTGAAACTAGTAGCACATGGCTGCAGGCAAATTATATTCCTTACAGAGCAATTCCATTAGAATGCTTTGTAGTACTCTATTTCCTCACTAACATCTGACTCCATAAAAAGGACACAATAGTTAATAGAAGGGAAAGCTGGAGGAAAAGTATGAGGAAACATTTTCTTAAATTGTATTTTAAAATATTCTATCATCATCATCATTATTATTGCATATTAATTTTGCACATTACACACCAACAGTATTCCCTTTCCTTATCTGAGTGCTATTTTTCTAATACATTCACTTTTCAAGTAGAAAGACAAAAATAACCCAAATAATAATTTGAACAACCTAGTCAAAGGGTTTGAAACAAAGTAAGGTTTAGTCTTTTAATTTTGCACTGAAGCAACTTATTACACAGATGTTATCTTCTTTAGATGATGCATGCATCATGTTTATCACTCCTTAAAAGTGAATAAAATTCTCACATCACATTATATGGATAGATTTAGAATGATAACTTGCATTGTATGTAAAGAGTAGAAGCTATATGACAAAACAAGCTAATAAGCAATGTATGAGATAATGGATAGGAAGGAATATTAAATAAACTAATGGAAAGTTAATAAGGCAAAATATTTAAACAATAGATCTAGTAATTTAATGTGTCAGTTGATAACATTTCAGCATATCTTTTAGTTACAGTGAAAACAAATTTGCAGGGACAGAAAATTGAGCAGATAATAACACGATTCAGAAAAATGAAACATATCAATCGTTATAAATACAACAGTGTTCATTTGAAGACTTAAATCTATTCTATTTTCATACTACCAAATTCCTTATACTCTTTTTTATGAGCAAATTCGTTTGTCATTTTTATAACTTTATGATTTCTGAACTTAAGGTTAGCTTGTATTGAAAATGTTTCCTCCAGTATATTAACATTTAAAATCAGAAAATTAAATTTCATTATAAGTTAAGAGGATTATTCTGCAGATATCTGTAATGTCTGAAAAAAAATTTAGGTAAAGATGAAGAGACACATTCATTTGAAACAAATGCAAGTAAGGCATGAAATTTAAATGCCAAGATACTGACCTCTAGAACAAGGGTGGGGGAACAGTGATACTGGTTCAATTCTAATGTATATATAAAAGTATTCTTATATCTATCTAAAATTTTATCTTGAGTATTTATTTTGCCATAATTGAAATGAAAAAAAAACAAAACAAAACAACCCACCCCCATCTCATGTGGGCAACTTACTTTACAGTGATCATACTGGAGCTGTAAGGCAGGAACATCCCCCCCAATGGGCATTTGCTTTTTAAGCTCTTCATCTTTAATATTCAGCCATTTGATCAGTTCTTCTAAAGATGTCAGCAACCTGTTCCACTTCTCAGCACTGGCCTCCAAATGAGCCCTGTTGAGAGAAAACGCCAACCACATTTCAAAGCTTGAATTACCTTAAAAGAATTATATACTTTCTTTCAGCCTAGTAATCTTATATGAACATTCATACCCAAGAAAGAAGTCAACCCTTTGTAAAAGAAAAATTTCACATATGAAAATTATAGTATTTATTTAGTTATTTGACTAAGGTAGAATAGGTTGCTTGTGGTTATGGGAATAACCTGAATATTCGTAATATTTATTGGTAATGTATATCAAAATAGTAAAATATATACCTCCATACTACAAAGGCATAAATCTGAAGCTTTCAAAAAGAATGTTCACAATATAATCCAAAATTATAAAGCAATTTTAGTAGTTTAAACATAGTGCATATATGCACATTCCAATATAATTTCACTTATATATATGAAGAGAGATAGAGAAAAGGAAATTATACACAAATAAAAGGTTTAGAAAGTACATACCAAGTGTGGTTACTGCTGAGAATACTTCCTTCATTTAAAAAAATTTTTTTGTACATACGGACTATTCACAACAGACTGTACTACTTTTTTTTCCAACAACAAAAAAGCCCATTAGTTTTTTTAGGAAAGAAAATTATTAATGTCTTAATTTCTCTTATAACTAAATAGATTGAAAGCAGAACATCACCAACACGTATCATAAAAAATTGAAAAACAATAAGGAATTGTTTAGATAGTACACTATTTGGTATAAGACTGATAGATGCCCAGTGATGAATGCCCATTAGGAATCAAAAACAACTGGATATAAATCACTGATTATAGTACTTTGTACTCTGATTTAAAGGTGAGGCTTTGGTTCAATAATGTCTTCTGGTTTTAACAAAGAAAAGTAGCTTCACATTCCTTAATTATGAACTTCACTAACAAGGAGCCATGCTTAGAAAATTGTTTTTATGTGATTAAGTTTCCAGTAAGAGCAAAAACCCTTGAGAAATATAAGTAAAAACAAGAATTTGTTAGTTGCCCTTACTAGGAGGAAATCCACTAATCTAGTCTCAAGCCCACACCACTTAAACTGCATCAGAATGGAAGAACTCCACAAATTCAGGGAATCAGCATTTACTCAGGCCTGCATTACTCAAAGGACAGACCCTGAATGTGGACTTAGGTTAAGTGCCCAATACATGAAATGAAGTTACCTCAAGTGTCCCTGTCCTTTCAGGTTGAGAGATTAGGTTTCACATCCCAAAAATATGCTCACCTTACACTTGGTATTAAGATTCCACTTCCACAAATACACTCCTTTACTGAGCGGTATGAGGGCCCCCAAGCAGGCACAGCTACTACTACAGCCTCAGCTCTGTCAGTAATTTCCTTTATGGACATCTGATCTACCTGAGCCTCTGTTTCAAAGCTGACAATGCTGCTCGAGTTAATTTGAACAAATATTTCCCCACTGGTCTCATTAGGTGGTGCTCTCAGTAATAAATATTGAAAAATACCGTAAGTCTGTATTGAAAAGTTCATAATGTTTTCAGAAGAACTAAAATTCTTTAGTTAATCTAGTTTTTCTCTAATTTATAAAATAATGACCACAGTCTAACAGCCAATATTTTTGGCTGAAAGAAAAAAAGTATGAGTGATGCTATTTCTAAAATACCATGACCTGGCTGGCAACCAGTTCAGCCAAAAAGCCAAGGATCCTACAATATTTATACTTACTTTCTCCATCAGCTAATAAAAAACAAGCTATTCAAACTCCAAAATTCTATGTTTAATTCAAAGCATCTACAAATGAAATAAAAATAATGTGTAAATAAAGAATTCTGAAGTATTTAACAATTTGGAGATTATATGATTTAAAATTTTATTTTATTATCTTGCATTTACAATGTTTTCTATTTAGTCTACAGGTGCTATCAATGACCTCATGTAACAAAATTGTGATTTAGCAAGATCCCAATTCTGCTCGACTGGCAGCTTTCTTGTGTTCATATTGAGTAATTTTAGGGCAAACTGCAATTACCTCACCCTGACAAACAACAATTTCACTGTGACAGAGAAATAAATAATTTCAATTATATTAACTGAAAATTCTCTTTGCAGTTACAAACCATTTTGCCACAAGTATAACTACCAAGCTATTGCAATTTCTTTCTGGCATTTTAAAACACACACACATTACAGCTGGAAATCACAGACTATTTGATCCTCTACTTTCAATGTGTGTAGTTTAAGTCTCTAATCAATAACTAAGCCAATCGTTACATTCCTTTGAAATCCAGTTACACACAGTCATTGAATAGAAGAGCATACAGATATCCTTTCCTACACAATTAACTATTTTGACTGCACAAGAATAATGATATTGGTCATTGAAACTTACGGTACTCAGCACCTGAATCACTGTCTATAAAAATGAAAGCAACATTTTTTAAGAGAGATATTTCAGTGACTTTGAAATAAAAACAAACCAATATCGGTTTATGTGTGTCTCTACATCTTTCTTCTTCCACAGTAAAAAGAAAGCTGATCTGCAGAATCTTTGCCTGGAAAATCTGTTCTGGTTACTCTCCAACAGATTATAACTATGTGTTTAGTGGATTACTACCATATGCCCAAATAAATGCATGCTTCCGTAGTAGCCCTCAGTGTTCTTGTTTCAATGTCATTCTTTCATCTTCCAAGATGAAAGCCTTTTCTTGGGCTATGGCTTGAATCTTTTGCAATATATTAGAAATCTTAAATTTGTGTTTAATAAGTTGTTCCTTCTCACTTTTACTCTAAATACTGTAAAGCTTTTACTTCTCCGAGACTAGAGATAACTAGTCACCAATCATGCTTGCAGAATCTTAAGACATTTCTTTATTTAACAGATATTCATGGAAACTCACATTTGGGGGAATTGACATACTGCACTAACTCCCAACTGCTTCAGTTCCTTCTTTGGGTATTTAACGTGCAAACAATAGATACTGTGGCTGAATGTAGTATCAACATAGCATGGGGCCCACTGCCACACAATATGCTTCACACAGTTCTCTCTTCCTAGCTTGAATAATGCATTGAACAACTACAGATATTTTTAAGTGACGAGTTATTTTAAAAAATATAACAAACACAAAACGAGTTAGAGGGTCAAGTTCCACAAAAATGGTTCTTCATCATTTAAATAGAGTAGAAGAGGACTGATGGAGAAACCTGAATTAATATCTATTTTTAATGAACAAAAGATTTTACCTCTCAAGGTTTCTCCAAGCATGCTTTTATTCTTCCCTCCACATGCAGATATGAAAAATGGAGGAAAGTGTGGGTGAATAAGGAGGGGCATTTATTAAAATGAAATACAGTTGTTCATTTATTCAACACAAACAGGTATTTGTAGAGCACCAGCTCTGACACCAGTCACTATTGTTTCATAAATAGAAAGTTTTAGAGTTCCAATGAAGAGGAAGACAAATCAACTAAATATACCCTGAGATAGGACACAGCTCTGTGAGAAGTATGGTTCAGAGAAAGAAGAAGCTGCTCAGAAAGCGTGGTAAAAATCTGGGGTCTACACAAAAGCCATTGCTTTCATCAAGGACAGCATCTGAAAGGATGGACAGGAACTTCCCAGCTCTACCTGAAGACAAGCAGAGAAACATTGGAAAGCAGATCTACCAAGAATATAAAGACCCAAATTAAGAGAGGCCAAGACATACTACCCCTCCCCCCCATGTTCTGTAAAGGCTACCCAGAATGAAATATACAACTTGGCCCTCTTACTCCCTAACCACCTATGTTCTTTCTTTTCAGAAAAAGAAAAGAAAGGTTTATGGTAAAACCTATAGGTTATAAATTGAGTTATAATGAAAGAAAATACCTTTGTAACACCACAGTAACAGGAAACATTCAAAGAGGATTATTCCTATTCTCAGAAAGGGAATTAAACCCTAATAGGAGAAAAGGGAGAAGCCTTCAGAATTCAGATATCTATGTTGAAAAGAACACAAAAGCTGGGCTTCCAGTATGGTGGGCACCAGCAACAGGAGGCTCCTTCCATTTACATTTAAATAAATAAGATGTGCAATTCAGTTTATCAGTTACAGTAGACACATTTCAAGTGCTTAACATGCCACATAGGGATAGTAGCTACTGAACAGCTAACACAGAGAATTTCTATCATGTCTGAAAATTTTATTGAACAAGAGATACAAAGGCAGAGGACAGCAGTAGTCTCTCTTCTTCCACTAGATTTGGGAAATGGAAGTTTCAGTCATTTTACAATATGAATAGCACAATCAACTAGCTAAGGTTAAAAGTGGTGTCAATGATACTATAAAATGTTGTAACATTAGATGTAATGATGATGTAAAAGGTTAATCTCCTCTAAGCACTTTTAAAGGGTACTCCGGATTTTTAAGAGGATCATAAAAGAAAGGGAAGATAGAATTTTATCTTGTGCTCTGTTTTCATTAGATTGGACAATTTCACTATCCTCGGAAACCCTATGTTAATAAGGACCTGCATTAAATATCATTAAGCCAATAAGTGGCTATTTAACATAATCCTAAATTAAATAGACTTAACATAAAAATCTACCATGTACCCAAATTTATTAGTATATTTCCAATTCATATTTTCCAGGGAGAAAAAATATTCCCGAAGTTCCCAAGAGCCTATATCTCCTTTCTAAAGTTTCTAATCATAAGAGCCCTTAATATTGATCTAGGTGAAATATGTCTTTGTATGTAAAGTTTTTATTGCAAAGTAATCTTTGATGCCTTGTATTTCAGTATTTAAAAAGTTTAATTATAGTTATCTGAAAAGACTATAAACTATTACTGAAGATATTAGCTCAAGGTATTGAGCCACATGTTATTCCACAGTTTCAGTGACCCCCTGAGGTGGAAGGAGGCGATATCCATAAAGCACTTCATGTTGTTCTAGCACATGCATGTTCAATAAATAATAACCTATCATGATCTTTGCAGACATTCCTTTTTTTTTTTTTGAAAAAAAGATGAATTAGAATAAATGCTCCCTTTCTCTAGCACAA